CAACAGACACCAAAAGCAAACAAACCAAACCCCATGGACCCAGACTGAAGAGGATGTAGGAAAAAAAAAACCAAAAAGCAAAGCCAGAAAGTACCTAAAACAGCCACCCCTCCTTCACAGTGTGTCCCACCTTACAAGTGGCACAAGACTGCAGCCATTGTCTCCATAGTAGTCCCATTGGACCTAGCACTGCCGTCTGGAAAAGGAGTGTGACGTCAAGCCCAGTGTGGGTGCCTGGACACAGCCAATGAGTGTGGCTTCACTGGGAATCAATGGATAGGCGGGGATTATAGTAAGATGGCCCTGTGGGACACACTCACACCCACATTATATCCACTTGCCAAATGCTAGCAGGCGAGTGGAAATTGTGAGGCCTGACCTTAGGATACATTCTTATGGCTTTAAAAATGTTACTGATCATAAAAGCAAGCTTTTTCTGGAGCAACAGTTCCTGCGCAAATGATCAGTAAAATTCTTGCTTTTAGATCAGTTTTTAAATGCATCCTAATTGTCCTCCTGATTTTTTTTTTTTTCTAATATCCTCAGATGCAGGTCATCAGGTGAAGTTTATTGAATGTTTACACACCTTTGTGAATGTGTCCATTGAAAACAATGCAGCTGCATTCAGATACATAAATAAATGTTGTTACAACAGATTTTACCTTTTGGTATAATGGTTTTCACATAAATAAAAGCTGACCATTCAAAGCACCCCTGCCAGTGTTAGAGGGATGAGATAAACCATTTAACTTTGTCTGGACAGCTTGGTCTGTTAACAGATTTTGAAAAATAACGACCTCGTTCATACCAGTGTGCAGAGGCGTCAGTTCTCTATGTGCCCTGTTCACACCACAACACCAGTATCACGTGTAGATTTTTTCTGTGCAGAAATCTACAATGTGTATAAAACTCATTGAAACGTGCATGTAAACTGACGTTTCTGCAAGTAAAATCTACACATCGGTTTCCATCACTTTTCATGCACGTATGGTGTGAACCAGTCCTTACTGGTCGAAACACCTGTTGTAAAAGGAAAACTAATACAGCCACCACGTCTAAGAATTGGTGAACTACAATTTTATAATTTTTGGGGATTTAATACCATTTTAAAGCAGAATTAAAACCTCCTATCCTCCTATAAGGTTGAGAGTTGACATAGGTGCACTTGGAACTGTGATGGTTATTGGAAGAGGCATGTCTTAACCACTTGCCCTCCAAAGGATTAATTCCCCTTCCTAACCAGGCCATTTTTTGCAATACAGTGCTGCGTTACTTTAACTGACAATTGCGAGGCCATGCAACGCTGTACATTTATAAAATGTCCTTTTTTACCCCACAAATAGAGCTTTGTTTTCTTTCAGTGGTATTTGATCACCTCTGCGGTTTTATTTTTTGCGCTATAAACAAAAAAAGACCATCAATTTTGAAAATAAAAACAATATTTGTGAATTTTTGCTATAGAACATATTCAATAAAAAAAAAATTTAAAAAAATCTAATTTTGTCATAATATTAGACCAAAATGTATTCTGCTACATGTCTTTGCTAAAAAAAAAAGTGTCAGTATGTGTAAATGAATTGGTTTACGTGAAAGTCATAGTGTTTACTTAAACATATTCAAGCTATAGTTATATAATGGATATTGGCTGAAAGTGCACACTCTCAGGTTTAATTTGAGGGTATGTACATCCCAATTGGAGGAAGGGTTTAGGAATTACAGCTCTTAAGAGTAGCCATCCCCTATTTTTCACGGGACCAAAAGTAATTGGACAATTGAATCAAAAGCTGTTTCATGGCCAGTTGTGTGCTACTCCTTTGTTATTTCTTCATCAATTTAGCAGGTAAAAGGTCTGGAGTTGATTCTAAGTGTGGTATTTGCATTGGGAATCTATTGCTGTGAACCTACATCATGTGCTCAAAGGAGCTGTCCATGCAAGTGAAACAGGCCATTGTAAGGCTTCAAGAACGAAAAAAATTCCATCAGAGAGATAGCAGCAACATTAGGAGTGCCCAAATCAACAGCTTGGTACATTCTGAAGAAAGAAAAATGCACTAGTGAGCTCAGCAACATAAAAAGGCATGGACGTCCACAGAAGACAACAGTGGTGGATGATCACAGGATCCTCTCTATGGTAAAGAAAAACCCATTCACAACATCCAGACAAGTGAAGGACACTCTCCAGGAGGTGGGTGTATTATTGTCAAAGTCTATAATCAAGAGAAGATACAGAGGGTTCACCACAAGGTACAAACCATTCATAAGCCTGAAGAATAGAGAAGTCAGATTAGACTTTGCCAAAAAACATCTAAAAAAGCCAGACCAGTTCTGGAAAAGCATTCTTTGGACGGATTAAACTAAGATTAATCTGTACCAGAATGACGGGAAGAAAAAAGTGTGAAGAAGGCTTGGAACAGCTCATGATCCAAAGCACACAACAGCATCTGTAAAACATGGTGGAGGCAGTGTGATGACATGGGCATGCATGGCTTCCAGTTGTACTGGGTCCTTAGTGTTTATTGATGATATGACAGAAGACAGAAGCAGTGGGATGAATTCTGCAGTGTTTAGAGATATACTGTCAGCCCAGATTCAGCCAAATGCAGCAAAGTTGATAGGATGGCGCTTCACAGTACAGATGGACAGTGATCCAAAACACACTGCAAAAGCAACCCAGGAGCTTTTAAGGAAAAGAAGTGGAATATTCTTCAATGGTCGAGTCAATCACCTGATTTCAACCCAATTGAGCACGCATTTCACTTGAAAGACAAAACTAAAGGCAGAAAGACCCACAAACAAAGAACAACTGATGACAACTGCAGTTAGAGCCTGGCAAAGCATAAAGGAGGTAACCCAGTCTTTGGTCATGTCCATGGGTTCCAGACTGCAGGCAGTCATTGCCAGTAAAGGATTCTCAACAAAATATTAAAAATGAACATTTTATTTATGGTTATATTCATTTGTCCAATTACTTTTGGTCCCATGAAAAAGGGGGGATGGCTACTCTTAAGAGCTGTAATTCCTAAATCCTTCCCCCAATTTGGATGTGCATACCCTCAAATTAAACCTGAGAGTGTGCACTTTTAGCCCATATCCATTATATAACTATAGCTTGAATATGTTTTGATAAATACCTGAAAAAAATCTAAAATTGTGCCAGTGCCCAAATATATATGGACCTAACTGTATATACTGAAATTTTTTATTGTTTTTTTTTTTATACTAGTAATGGCGGCGATCAGTGACTTATAGCAAGACTGCGGGACCAATGACCCAGTACAACTGGAAGCCATGCATGCCCATGCCATCACACTGCCTCCACCATGGGACTGCAGCGGGCATTTTGACACTGAGTGGGAACTGACTAACTGCCACTGACATCACATACAATGATCAGTGCTAATAAAAAGCCCTGGCACTGTACTAATGACACTGGGCAGGAGGGGGTTAACATCTGGGGCGATCAAAGGGTTAACTGTGTGCTGTGTGTGTTTTACGATGTGTGCTGTTTTACTATGGAGACATGCTGCTTTGTATTTCTCTGCTGTTGTTTACACACAGGTCTCTCCCCTGTCAGATTTCCCCAACGATCACTGGGTGCCCGCGGGGAATCTCTGGCCGAAACTTGGTGATTGATATCCCCAGCCGCCAATGGCTGCGCAAGCACCCCCTACCCAGAAATGCAATTCACGTACATATACGTAATTTTGCGCAAACCCTGCTGCTCTGTAGAAGTACTTCTATAGGGTGGCAGGCAAGCGGTTAAAAGAGACATATGGCCAAAGCTTCTTTTGGCCGTACTTCTTTTGTGGGTCACAGGAGTGCACTTCTGCACTCCTGTGACCCAGAATCAGCTGACAGCGGGCTAAAATCTGCTGTTGGCTGATGTCGCAGAGCTGCTCTATGCTCTTGAAGGATCCTGATAATAATGTTGGGATCCACCCAGATGCCTTATTGGCAGCCGATTCAGCCTGTCAGCGTGCTGCTGAGAGCCTGAGCCAGTCGCTTCGGTCCTCTCTCCTGCCCAGTGCTCCAGTGAACGCTGGAGGGGCAGAGTAGAAGGTAGTGACTGAGAGTCACCACTGTGCTCAGTGTGGACAGTTCTTGGGCTTACATTTGGCGGGGGACAGCTACAGAATCACACCGATGCTTCAGCATGGAGGTAAGTATATGCGTTTGTTTGGCTTTTTTTTTTAGAACCCCAAACTTCTTCTTTAAATGTAACTGTTTTGGGAAATGGTTATATCAGTGGGTTTAGTTCTTTTTAAAGTCTTCAGGTTAGGTTAAATGTTAAGACAAAGTTGGGCTTCTTTCCTGGCATTTGTGGATATTTTGTAGTGAGAAAAAATGTTGAATAACATTAGCAGAATGACTTATTTGTTGCTTGTTTTGCTGAAATTAAAACCATATAAGCAATCTTTTTATCTAAATAGCCAGTCTTTTATTGAAGGGTTAGTTCACCTTTAATGGTCAAAAAAAACCCCCACGTGTTCCAGTATCCCCAGCACATTACATACCACTTCTCTGTTGTTCAAATAGTTGTTCCTGACACCCTCTATACATGTAGGCCACACACAGCTAGTCTGAAAAAACTACTTAGTAGCTGATTGGGCCAGACATTAGAAGTGTGCTCCCCGTGGCTGTTCTGGCTTGTTCAAATACTATGCTCTTTGTGCAGCAACAGCTGAGCTGCATTGTACTGTGCAAGTTCGGAGTGTGCCAGAATATGCACTTCTAATGTTCTGCTGTTAAGGCAGTATGGAGGGGGACCAGTTACTAAGGAATATTTGCACAGCCTACATGTATGGAAGGAGACAGGAGCAACGGAGTAGTGGTATGTAATGTGCTGGGGATGCAGGAATGCATGGTGGATTTTTTGGAAGATGGCCAATAAAGGTGAATTAACCTTTTAATATTAGAAACTGGAAATTATACATTCATAGATACAACAAAAAATTCACATTTTTCTATAAATCTGCTTTGTGTTGCATCTCTTTTTGCAGATCTTTCAGAGACAGAAGAGATCGAGAACCTCCAGTGGATTATGAAGATGATTTTCGGGAACAGTCAAATCGAAGACCAAACACTACACTTACAAAGAGCAGGTCATTTGCTTTACTCTAGTTTCAGCTTTTTGTGGATCATGGGTTAAAATATTACTAAACACACAACAGTAAAATCAGTCTGTATATGCAGTAAAGCATGCATGTTATACTTGCTGTGGAACCTAAGTGGTTAATCCTCTGCATTGTATCAAAAGGCTGTTTGATCTCTGGGTCCCCCCTTCTTCTGCTGTCCCTAATCCATTTGCTGATAGTACAGAGCTGTTGGAGTCACTCTGCACATGCACATTAATGTGTGTTGCTAGAGAGTTTTTTTTTCTTTGGGGGGGGGGGGGGGTGTATGTGATCAGCACAGGGACAATCAGTACATCAGTACTGTCCAGACAGAGGGTCAGGGGTTATGGAGCCTCATAGGTCAGTCAGCGCAAAATGAAAACTCCTCCTACAAGATTACCCAGTGCTCAGCCAGACACTGATAGAAGTCACAAGACTGCTATATACTGCTGATTAGGAAAGGTATTTAGCTGTTTATATTTACTACAATAATTGCATTTCCATGTAGTGTGTACTGTGGGAGACTGGATATAGTGAATACAGGGTCCTGGGTTTAGTACCACTTTAATCAAAATATATTTCTACTTTAAACATTAATAAAATGACATATATAAAATCATACAGTACAGGACAGGTATTCATTATATTCTGCAACTTTCAGGTAATTGGACACTAATAAAAACTTTTGCCAAGGTCACCCCTAGGGCATACTCATTTAACCCTTTCCCCACTATGTGTGGTTTCAGTTTTTTGCTAGTGTTCTTAGGGGATGGACCTGTTCTTTCTTTTTAAACCATTGAAATGTTTTCGTTTTAATCTTCTATCAACATCTGAATGCTTATTTCCTTGTATTACCTAACAATTCTGGGATCAGTTCCTTTTGCTGTATAGCTCATGGACCTTACCTACATCTCACTGCATGGGGCGGATCTGTAATGTTTTCTGTGGGCACTAGATCCTGCATTAAGTGGCCACTTTGGTCCGACATGCACTGTGTGAAGTTAGCTGCGGGGTGCTATACAGGTCTAAGGCTATGGTCCAATTTCTATGATTCCCAGACTGCGTGGTCAGTTTTCTGGCTGTGCTGGGAGCTAATCTAATGATCAGGCTTGTACTGACATGCCCCCCCCCCCCACAGCCATTCACTGGGAAGATCAATGTGCTGCTGTTTCTCCACCACTAGCTCCTTATCCAGCTGAGAACAGAGTGTATGTGATCACTTATAAAAAAAGAGGAAAAGGGTATTTACAATGTTTTTGATATTGCCTTTCATTTCTATTTTAAACTGAACATGTTGTTTTACAAGGTGAAAGTTCACATATACTTTAATACTCTTTCTAGGCCTAAAGTGGAGAATCAAGTACAACCCACAGAGCGGTCTAAGTCTGCAAATACTAAGGAAGAAAACTTTTCCACTGGTCTTATGCTTGGTACGGATTCCCCTCACATTTGGTTATGTTTACTGTGCATATGTTGTATATGCTGCAACTACACAGACACGTATACAGTACATTCCATGCATGGAAGAATCCTAGAAGTTTTCTAACATGTTTGTTTTTCTGTAAATATTCCTATGGTTATAATATTTTTATGGCACAACTCACTGGTGCATAATCAGTGAGTAGAATCTGCTCCTTGGTGACCTAGTCATGTCTAAGATACTTCATCTCTACCTGTAACATTATATGTTACTGCTTTCTGCATACAGTTACAGTAGGTCTATATATATTTGGACACAGGCACAATTTTAGTTTTTTCAGGGATTTACCAAAACATATTCAAGCTATAGTTCTATAATGGATATGGGCTGAAAGTGCACACTCTCAGGTTTAATTTGAGGGTATGTATATCCCATTTGGAGGAAGGGTTTAGGAATTACAGCTCTTAAGAGTAGCCATCCCCCCTTTTTCATGGGACCAAAAGTAATTGGACAGTTGAATATAATCATAAATAAAAAATGTTAATTTTTAATATTTTGTTGAGAGTCAATCACCTGATCTCAACCCAACTGAGCATGCATTTCACTTGAAAGGCAAAACTAAAGCCAGAAAGACCCAAAAAGAAACAACTGAAGATGGCTGCAGTTAGAGCCTGGCAAAGCATCAGAAAGGAGGTAACCCAGCCTTTGGTAATGTCCATGGGTTCCAGACTTCAGGCAGTCATTGCCAGTAAAGGATTCCCAACAAAATATTAAAAATGAACATTTTATTTATGATTATATTCAATTGTCAAATTACTTTTGGTCCCTTGAAAAGGGGGGATGGCTACTCTTAAGAGTTGTAATTCCTAAACCCTTCCTCCAATTTGGATGTACATACCCTCAAATTAATACTGAGAGTGTGCACTTTCAGCCCATATCCATTATATAACTATAGCTTGAATATGTTTTGGTAAATACCTGAAAAAACTAAAATTTTTGCCTGTGTCCATATATATATGGACCTAACGGCATGTCAGTGGCCAAGGGGAGGAGTTAAGAAAAAAAAGAGGGCTTGCAGACCAGTAACAGCACTCTATGATATGCTTAGGCTGCTGTTGTGAAGGAGAAATAATGCATTTGAGACAATTTATGGATCAGATTAAGGAGGTAATAATATGTTTATTTGCATGGGATATATGAAGTTTCTTTTTAAAAGAGTTTTTTTTTTAAATATTCACAGACATCAATTTTTGGGGTTAGGGTACATACACTTCCAGTGGAAATTGAAGAGAATTTTCTTTTTTAAACATTTCCTTAGGTGGGTCCAATGAAGATGAGGCTCTGAAGAGAAGAAAGGAACGTTATAGACAGGAACTTCAGGAGCAAATGGCAGAACAACAGAGAAACAAAAGAAGGTACATGTTTTTACTCTTTTGTTCTTAACTAAAACAAACTACTGGTAAATTAATGTATAGCCTTAAAATGATAACAGCTTTTGAATGCAAGTAGGTGGACAGATGTTTTGGAAAAGATGAGATTGGATTTCTTTTAGGGTAGGTTGGCGTTAAAGAGAATGAGTCAGGAGCCTCACAATCAGCCTGACACTTCTAATGTGGCAGGGAGGTGTAAATAGTGAAATATCAAGTAAATCCTGAGAGGAATCGCAAAACTGTTACATCATTTCAAAAATAGAAATTCAGATTATTACAAGTGACCATTGGGGGCTGGTTTAACATATACAGTCACCTGATGTGGCTGGATCCAGAGCCAGTACCATGTACATTGGGAACTTCCAACCTCACCCAGCTGACTGGCGTCGGGGTGAACAGTCGGGTAAAAAAAAATCTGTAATTACTTATAGACCAGCTAGCAGCCGTAGGGAGATCGGGTCATTTGCATCTATTTTTTTTCAAATGTATACATGTTTTTCTAGGGAAAAAGAGCTGGGGCTGAAAGTTGCAGCATCTGGTGCGATAGATCCTGAGAAGCAGGTGAGTCGATTTATCTGTTTTGATTTGTTAGTATGTAACTCTGTTGATTGTTTTCTGTCTCATTGCATACACATACTTGCAGGTTTACAGTGGGGAACATAATTACTGCTGATTTTGTAAGTTTGCCCACTTACAAAGAAATGAAGGATCTATAATTTTTTTATCATAGGTGATACAAATGTTAAAAAACTGAGTTGCAGTTCGGTGAGTAAAGTAAGTATTTGATCCCCTGCCTACCAAAAATAATTGTGGCTCCCACACACTGGCTATGTAGTACACAGATTAGTCCTGTCAATTTAAGGAGGTGGTCCTAACGGGCACCACCATGAGCAAGACCAAAGAGCTGTCAAAGGACTTAAGGGTCAAGATTGTAGACCTGCACAAGGCTGGAATGGGCTACAAGACCATCAGCAAGAAACTTGGTGAGAAGGCGACAACTGTTGGAGTGATTATTTACAAATGGAAGAAATACAAAATAACCATCAATCGCCCTAGGTCTGGAGCTCCATGCAAGATTGTACCTCAGATAATGAGAAAAGTAAGGGATCAGCCCAGAACTGCATGGGAGGAGCTTGATAATGATCTAAAGGCAGTTGGGACCACAGTCACCAAACAAACCATTAGTAACACAATACGCCACCCTGGATTGAAATCCTGCAGAGCCCGCAAGGTCCCCCTCAAGAAAGCACATGCACAGGCCCATCTGAAGTTTGCCAATGAACATCTAAATGATTCAGAGAAGGATTGGGAGAACGTGTTGTGGTCAGATGAAACAAAAACTAAGCTCTTTGACATTAACTTGACTCGCTGTGTTTGAAGGAAGGAAAGTGCTTACTATGACCCTAAGAACACCATCCCTACAGTCAAACACGGAGGTGGAAACATTATGCTTTGGGGCTTTTTCTCTGTTACAGGTAAAGGCTGACTTTGCCGCTTTGAGGGGCCAATGGACGGGGCCATGTATTGTAAAATCTTGGATAAGAACCTTCTTCCCTCAGCCAGAATACTGAAGATGGGTCATGGATGGATCTTCCAGCATGACAATGACCCAAAACATACTGCCAAGGCAACAAAGAAGTGGCTCAAGAAGAAGCACATTAAGGTCATGGAGTGGCCTAGCCAGTCTGCAGACCTTAATCCTATAGAAAATTTATGGAGGTAGCTGAAAATTCAAGTTGCCAAGCAACAGCCAAGAAATCTTAAGGATTTAGAGAAGATCTGTAAAGAAGAGTGGACCAAAATCCCTCCTGAGATGTGTGCCCTCCTGGTAGCCAACTAAGAAACATCTTATCTCTGTGCTTGCCAACTGGGGTTTCTCCACCAAGTACTAAGTCATGTTTTGTTTGGGGATGAAATACTTATTTTACTCACTGAACTGCAACTCAATTTATAACATTTGTATAATTAGTTTTTTTTCTTATTCTGTTTTGTCTTATTCTGTCTCTATCATTTAAAATACACCTATGATAAAAATTATAGACCCTTCATTTCTTTGTTAAGTGGACAAACTTACAAAATCTGCAGGGGATAAAATAGTTATTTTCCTCACTGTATAAATGTTGTAGTTTTAGAGTGTTAGATGTGTTTACCGGGGTGTTTAAAGTGGAAGCCAGTTTACGTGATATAAGATGTGGTACTTGCAATTTCCTCTGCCTAATTAAAATTGCTCATGTGTATGTTGTTAAACTTCCAGTTTTGGTATGCAGATGCCAATCGTGCTGCAAGTCAGAGCGTAGGGGCTCACTACCCGCAGTGCAATGCACACATCTTTCAATATATCTGTGCAGGGATTATTTAAACCACCTAATTTTTAGAGTTCTATACCTAATATTCATAGCTAGTGTGAACCTATTACTATCATATTTTATACCTCTTAATAACCTCCCAATAACATCAGACACTTACCATGCCCCCCATTACACAGTATATGTAAGTTTTTCAGATGTCCCTAAAAATGTAGGTGTTTATTGTCAATACCCTCCCAATATGAAAACAAGAATCCCTTGATATTTACTTGAGGATAAATACAGATTATGTATTACTATCAGCAAACTTGAAATACTGTATTTTTGCTTAAATAATGTACCATTCAGTTATTTTCTGTTCTGCACTGAAATATCACAGATCTTTACTTTCTGTTTTAGTTAGCATATTCAGTTAAATTTTAATCAGTTCTACAGTAAGTAGAGATGGCCTAATTATAAAGTATACTCTGTCTGCAGATCACTTGTTCTACTTTCATGATTCTGTGTCTATATCATCTTAGAGCTACATGCATGTAGCTGGTTTTCCTATAGTAAGAAAGCTGGTGACCGTGCAGACTCCTGCTATACCGATCTCAGCCTTCATGCATGCTGTTGCCGGTGTTTCAAGGGGAATTTTTCCTCCTCCATCCCACAAAAAAGAACCATTCTGCCTCTTTCAAAACACCCCCTACATCCCTATACCGCCATTTCTTGGGAGGTGTAATTTGGATCGGTGTTGTGAAAAGGTCATCTATCGCCCAGGGCAAAGATAACAAACTGCCCCCCCCACACTGTGTGAGAATTATGTCTCAGCGAAAATCCCCCTCCCCACCAAAAAAAAAAAATCAGCACTAATCTGCATGCTCACCCCCCCAATCATAAATTTCCTCTGCAAACCAAAATTCTCCCCAGCCAAAAAAATCCCTCTCCTCCCAGTACATATCCCCCCTCCCAGCAAAAATCTTTGCTCTCCTACCCTCTCCCCAGCACAAATATTTGTCCTCCAATCTCCCCTCCCAGCTTAAATCCCCTCCTAACACAAATTTGCACCCTACTAGCACAAGCACAAGTTTATGAGAAATAGAAAAAAGAACATCTAAGCTTTTGCTGTGCAGTTATCAGTATTTAAGTCTGTCAGTGTTCTTGTATTTCTGATTGGAAGGAAAGTTGCTTGTACTAATTAGAATTCCTAAAAACATGAAGGCCCTGCTGGTAAGCCATAATGGCAGATATCTGCTTTTCCCAGAGCACTTGTAGGAGGCTAGGGTGCCCTAGTTTTTGAGGATCTCCTTTGCCTTCACCAATAAGACTTGTTTGGGCTTTGCCTAATGGAATGAGCATGCTGACAGAGCCACGTAACTTCAATGTAGAAGTTCTAGCTAATGCTTCTAATATACATTTATGATTTTTCAGATTTGGGTATAGACCAATACAGTATTGGGTCTTTAATTCTAGTGTGCTGTGTTTTGTATATAAATAGGTGTTTCCTAATTTTCTTAAATGCTTTTTCTAGCTAAATGAAGAAGAGGTAAATAGATTTTGTTTTCTTCAAAATATTACATTCTTTTTGCTATGAAGATTTGTTCCAAATCTTCAGTTTCTTACCTTTTCTCTTTCCTTGCATGCCTGTAGCAGTTTGGACAACATAGACTGACGCATGTTTTTAACATCTGCATGGATTGCATAAAATCTTTAAACTGCCTGTAAAACAGAGGATCTCAATGACATAGTACTACTAGGAAGATCTACAGTAACAGAGAAAATTAAATCAAACCTTTTGATATACAGCAGGTGGCAAAAAAATACAAGTCACTGTGTAAAATTCTTACTGCTCCAACTAGAGCTAAGTAACTACACCATATTCTTCTACAGTTTCTGCAGACCCTGCAAGTTATATCCAAATATAACACATACATTATAGGACACAGGGGAGTTCATATACATGACTACTTTGGTTATGCTACCACCCTCAGGTGAATGGATACTAGCCACAAAAAGGCAGGAACATCCACCCAGGCATAACCTCTCCCAGCTCAGCTAAGACTCAGTTTTTTTAAACTAGTATTTAAAGGCAATTGATGCATTTCCTTTGTTCTCTAGTGAGCATTGTCCTGTTCAATATTTCCCTGGTGGGGCAGAGGTGGGCCTTAACTGGATTGGTTGGTCACTTTGACCCCGAACCCAGGAGGGTAAATGGCCTGTTGTTTGGTGCTGGACCCTGCTGGCAGCAATCTTTAGTGTACAGTGTACCTTGTGACCTAACTGGTAGGATGCTTTACAGGTCATGAGCAAGGAACCTGCTGTGATGGGTTTGCGGGCCCTGTGACGGGGACTGGTGAGCCTTTGTGTTCAATGGGCTAAAAGACAGTTTTCATCTGACATTGTCATTTGTGATTGGGGCTTTTCTGTGTAGTTCTTTATTTTTGGCACTGCAGCCGTGGTGGGCAGAGTTCAAAAAGTGCCTGCCATGATGTCATCTCACATGTCTGCCATTTTACATAGATCCTGGGCACAGTACCATGTGGACTGAGCTGTTTGAGCCTACATTGTTTGGGGAAATCAGCCCGCACTGTTTGAACAATCAGTGCAATCTGCCTCCAGCCTTACACAGCAGCCCTTGAGCCCTTGTCAGTGCCTCAAGTATTGGAACACTTGACAGCTACCTGGGGTGACTGTCACAATGGTGTTCAGGCTAATTCTGACACGCCTCTCAGCTGGGTGGTTGCTTACCTCTGGGTTCAGGCTTTTTTAACCCTCCACAAGTTATACAAGGCATAGAGGTGTGTGTGTGTGGGGGGGGGGGGGGTAGAACAATGGGATGAACTCCCAAATTTCTCAGTTAGGGAAGACCCCCTGCACATTTTGCCCTGCAATGGCTCTCTCTGATTAGTTTTGAATCACTGCCCTTGTCTGGTATTTCCACAGTTCAAAAGCACAATTTTCTGCAGCCTTACCTGGACTTTAGAATGCCTGGGACACAAGCTTGGCCACTCTCCTTCTCCTCCCTATTTGATGTAGGATGAGGTGCCGAAGGAAACTTCTCAAGATGAGGAAGAGATGGAAGCTGTTGAGGATCAGGAAATTCTTTATGGATGAATCCTCTCAAGAGGAATCTCAGGTTCCAGGACGCCTTGGTCCCAGAAGACCAAGGTGAGCTTCCTTGCAGATGTGGTATGTACTAACCTTAAGTCACTGCTGCTGAAAGCTTCTTCCCCAAGAGTCCCTGGTTTTGGATCCTGTTGGCCGCCAAAATAT